TGGCAAACAGGACCTGGCCCTCTCCCTTTACCCAGGTTTGGGTCCCCAAGCGTGGTTATTCAAATTTATACTTCTAAAAAGAAGCATCACCTCTCCACAGAGAGAAAACCAGTTTCTCTTTCTCCAGCCTCACCTCACTGCCCTCTGCAGGTGTGGGCCTGGGGGAGGGGTTGCTCATGGGGCATTTGATAGGAGGACTCTGGTCTCTGGGTCCAGAGTGCAGGTAGACAGCCGCTCTGCTTGCAGTTTAACCTGAGAGAGCCAAGGTTACTCTCGGCTCTAACCTGTCTTGCCCTAAGATCGGGTCCTCTTCCAGCTCCTCTGTCACACACCCTCTACATCCCTGCTTCACAAGGGACCCTTTTCTTCAAGGCTGCATCCCCATCTCCGATCATCACACAGCTTAGCCTGGTGCTGTCTTTTGCATGTGGAACTCCTCAGGCCTGGACGACATGTGACCATCTGTTGCCATTTGCTGTTCCAGGACTTTTCATTTGGTATGCCTTTGGTCTAAATAGACAGTGGCTTCGTCCCAGCCCTGTCCTTTCTCTGCTGCTTCCATTGGGACACTTGAAGCTGGATGAATGCAAGAGGGCTACATTGGTGATGCCAAGTCCAATGTCGGGAAGCTTCTGTGTGTGCATATTCCAAACTGCTTGTCCTCGTCCCTGACCCTGAACACCCTGTGGGAGAGAGCTGACCAGGGGCCCTGCACTCTACATCACTGGGGCACAGATGAATCAATGCGTGTGGGGTTAACATCCATCCCCCCCAAATCAGATTAGCTTCAGGTGTGTAGAAAGTCCCTTCTGAGGAGCTATTGCACCCCTACCTGTTAGAGGAGCTGTCATGGACTAGGGGGAGCCCCTTCTCCCCAAGAGCTTTTGGAAAGAGATGCATGAAGGCAGGAAAGCAGGTTGTCTGAGGGCATGTAGCCTTGGACAAGGCTGCAGGATGTGGTGTAGTGGAGCCAGCAGGAAAGCTGGATGTTGGCTCTTGAAGGGGGCTTCCTGCCTTCTCCAGGAAGAAAAGGAGGGGCAGGGGAAGTGGAGCAGCAAGAGGCAATGGTGAGGCCAGTAGGGCTACCCCACCTGAGCCCAGAACCCCACTCGAGGGGTTTCCTGACATCTCCAAAGATGAATCAGCAACAAAATGTAAACCCTAAAGGCAGAGAGACAATGAGAAACAGTTGTCCCATTCCCCACTGCTGGTGCCAGCTTTCTCCCTCTGGGTGATGAAATGATCTCGGCCACGAGGTAGCATTTACAGAAAAAGTTTTAAATCTGTTTAAATGACACAGGGAGTTAATACTTCGCCACTATCTTTCTCTGATTACATTTCGCTTTGATGATCTAAGGTTAAAAAAAAAAAATAAGTCTTTCTAGATATCAAGGGCTAGGATCCCAAAGAGCCCACTATGCTCCCTCCAATGCCCTCTGGGGTCCTACTCCTTTACAGCATAAGGGTTTGAGAGCTCTGCCTGTTCTCTTAGCCCTAACACCACTGTTGTGGCTGGTCAATGAGAGCCGAAGAGGCAGCTCTGCGCCTTTAAGAGATCAGTACCATCTCGGAGCTGCTGCCACCAGCCGCTGCTGCCACTGTTTACACAGGGTGGCTCAGTTATGCTGGGGCCTGGGGCCTGGCCACTTCTGCCAGGGCAAGCTGAGGGGGAGGTAGGGCATCTTACCCCACACCAGTCAGAGAGCTGAGAAGTGAGGCACACGTGTGTTACCCCCAAAGGGAGAGCCCAAATCCAAAATAAGCCATCATCAGGTGGGAGAGATGGGGAAGGTGAGCAACCTTTACATACGAAGGAAGAGTTCTCCACAGATGAGGATCCACATGTGGAGAGAAAGAGAGGGGCCATGGTGAGGAGGCAAAGGAGCCATCCGAGAGGCCTCTGGCACTAGATGGAGCAGAGTTTTCATAGGTATCCAAAAAAACAAAACAAAACAGATGCTCCCTTCCGTTTCCCACCCACTTGCCCATCACCCTAGCCAAGGAATTGCTTTTATTTATGTATTGGCTATTATTATTAATAAAAATATGAATAATAAAGTAACCTGTAAATAATTTACTTGGACCTGGGGGTGGCTAGAGTGGCGGCAGGAGAAAGTGGAAGGTCAACCCTGGCTACCTCCCCCTTTCCAGTCCCACCACAGCTGCCTTCACTTCGGCTTGGTCTCCCTTCACTTTGAGGAGGGGGCATGGAGAGAAAGAAACCTCCTAACCCCCCCTCCCCTTAAGGCAGAAAATTGATTTCCCTCAGTTTTGAGATTCTGGGAGGCAACTGTCAGTACCACAAGATGATGTTGGAGAAAATTGTTGAACAAAGTTATTGGCTACTACTGCTGTGCCCTGGGGGAAAGGCAAGGAGTGGTCTCTCGGGGCTGATGATGGGTGCTGGCTTATCTTCTCTCTCAAACACACACACACACACACACACATACGGAGACAAGCGGGGCTGTGTGCACACCCACACAGCATCCACATACAAGCAGCCACAGTACTGACAAGACATGTACACACCTCCAAGCCAGGGTATCACCCTTCCTGTGCCTGCCAGGTCATGCCCACTTTATTACAGCACTTCACAGGTCACCAGGCACACAGCCACATGGCACAGAGGTCTTTCATGTGAGTTTCTGTTCGATTCCATCAACTTGGGCGATTCTTAGACCACCACATAACACTGGCTAATGGAAGCCCAGGAACGGAGTTACGAATCAACTATACTTACACAAGACTACATCAAGCAAAGGCAGGAGAATCTTAAAATAAAAAGACGAAGTTCCACAGTTCTCAGAATTGTACTTGCTGTTTGGTTTGGGCCAGAATCCTCAGGAGAGGTGTCCCGGGTGGGCACTCCGGCCTGGGGCTGCGGACCTTGGGGCCTTCTGGGGCCTCCTCCTGGCGCTGGAGAGCTCTGCGTTGTGGTTGTACCAAACGGGCTAGGTCTCCGATTTCAGACAGCGGGGGTCTCATTTCTTTAAATAAAAATTTAAACACATCGCCTAGGAACATCATGTAATCCGAGGACAAAAAAAGAGAAACTCTGAACACCCAAAAGGGGCCGGTGGTGGCCCTGGCCAGGGTCAAGCCAGCCGCTCTGCCCCACCGCGCTAGCTTCCAGCATCGCAACCAGCGGGGGAGCGGGCGCGTTTTTGTTTTGTTTTAATTTGCCTAGCTTCTGAAACCGAAAAGAGGCAGCCCTGGAAATGCAAATGTGGGAGAGGACAGGGTGCAGGTAAATATCATTCAAATGAAAATATGCTCTCCCAGCCCAAGTTCACCACCAGCATTCGCCCCCAGAGGCGGGGCTGCTTGGACCCGGCTCCCGCGCCAGCCACTCCCTCTCCCGCGCGGCGGCTGTTCTGGCTCCGGCGGGTCCGGTGGGGAACCCGGCAGGGATCCCGCTGGGCGGCCGGACCCTTGCTTTCGCCCGCAGACCCCCAGCCTCACACTTCTGGAGCAGGAGGTGTCGCAAACGAAGCCCGCCTAGGCAGCGCGCGCTGCGCGAGTCTGAGTCCGGCCGCAGCCCGGATAGCGAGTCGGGGCTTTATTTCTTTGATGGTGGATTAAGAAAGAAAAAATAAATCCAATTTGAACCAGTAAAGAAGAGCATGACAAAATCAAGTCGATCCCCCGCACTGGCTCACCAGCCCCTGCGCTCAGAGCCTGCCTCCTCTGGCGAGCGAGCGGGCCGAGGCGCTGGGCTCCTACCTTCCTCCCGCCAGCAGCCTGTCAGACCTGCCGCCGCGCTTCGGGGTAGGGGAGGCCGTCCGGTACTGAAACACCCACCTCCCCCCTTCGCAGGAGGACTAGGGCGAGGGCCGGGCCCCGAATCTCTACTCCCGGTACCCTCAACGCAGCCGGACCGCTTCCCAGTTCGGTCCTCCCAGGTGATTCGGTGGCGGTAGATGCCCGGCGGGAGTGCGAAAGATTAAGGGCTGCTTTGGCAGGTTGGGGATGCGAGGAGGAAAAAGCAGAGACGGAGTGACTGAGAGAGAGCGCGCGGGAGAGAGCTCTTGTCTATAGATTTATCCACATAATATATATTTATGTAGCTTTTTTTCTCTCGACACTGATCAATGCGCATTCGGAACGCTGGGCAGTGTCCCTCCAAGTCGGCTCGGCTTTTCTAGTCTAAATAAATAAATAAAGGGAACCAGATGGGGGGAAAAAGGCGCCCATTCCACCTCCGCCGCCGCCCCGCCCGCCATCCCTGCCTTTGCTTCGCCCGCCTGGCGCCCTAATAGAGCCCAGCTCGGTGGATAACGCCCCCTTACATACCCACGCGAAAATGAAAAGCAATGTTTTTAAAATACAAAAAGTTGCACCTGCTGCTATTACAAAAAGAACCCCCAGAAGGTAAAGAAGAAGCCAGCCGCCCCGTTCCTAATAGGCACCCCGCTCCCCACGGCCGCCGGGCCGGGAATCTCAACGCCTCCCGAAGAGCCATGCGCCTGGCGCTATTTATAGTCGGGGGCTGTCTCGGACTGTACCACCGCGGCTCTCCAGGGCCGCCGACGGGGGAGGCGCAGCACGGATGGCGCCGCCCCAAACCGCCCAGCTGCTGGTCTCCGCGCGCCGCCGCGAGGGAGCCCCCCCAACCATCGCGCCCTCGCCCGGCCCCCTGGCCCCC